CTGCCCGTCTTGGCCTCCCAAAGTGCTGGGATTACAGGCTTGAGCCACCGCGCCCGGCTGGTGGTAGTATTTTCTAACTCCATCATTCCTTCTATATTTATTAGCATTCAGCAATAAAAAGAAACATTTCATTTGTTTACCTTCAGAATGGACTCATGGATTGTTATTTTATTCAATAGGTTATATAATTTTTTAAAAAATCTCCACTTTATGGAGATGGGATTGGCGTGCGGAAAGCTGTATGTATTTAATGTACACAAGTCGATGAGTTTGAGGATAAGTACACACCTGTGAAATCATCACCACCACCAAGGCCATAATCATATCCATCACCTCCCAAAGTTTCCTGCTGTCACCTTTATTATTATCCTCTGCAAATTTTAAGTACACAATATAGTATTGTTGGCTGTAGGCCCATGCTCCGTAGTAGCTTACCAGAACTTACTCATCCTGCGTAACTGAAACTTTGTACCCATGACCATCACCTCCCATTCCCCTCTCCCCCATAGCGCCCGGCAACCGTCCTCCTCTCTGCTTCTGTGAGTTTGACTGTTTTAGATTTCACTGTGAGATCATGTGGTATTTGTCTTTCTGCCTGGATATCTCACTTAACAATGTCCTCCAGTTTCTTTCATGCCATCAAAAATGACAGGATTTCCTTCCTTCTTAAGACTGTATAGTACTCCATTGTATACATAGACCACATTTTCTTTTTCTTTTTCTTTTTGAAAAGGAGTCTCACTGTGTCTCCCATGCTGGAGTGCAGTGGTGCGACCTCAGCTCACTGCAACTTCTGCCTCCTGGGTTCAAGTGATTCTCCGGCCTCAGCCTCCCGAGTAGCTGAGATTACAGGTGTGCACCACCGTGCCTGACTAAATTAATCTGACCTCAGGTAATCTGCCCGCCTCAGCCTCCCAAAGTGCTGGGATTACAAGCGTGAGCCACCGCGCCCGGCCCCGTATACCACATTTTGTTTATCCACTAGGTTGATGCTGTATCTTGGCTATTGTGACTAGTGCTGAAATGAACATGGGAGTGCGGATGTCTCTTTGAAATGGTGACTTAGTTCTTCTAGGTGTATACCCAGTTGTGGGATTACTGGATCATATGGAAGTTCTATTTTTAATTTTTTGAGGAGCTTCCCAATTGCTTTCCATAATGGCTGTGCCAGTTTACATTTTTCCACCAACCGCGTGTAAGGAAAAAGGTATGGGTTCCCTTTTCTCCGCGCCTTTGCCAACGCTTACCTTTTGTGGTTTTAGTAATAGCCATTCTAACACAGGTGATAGTTCATTGTGGTTTTGATTTTCGTTTCCCTGATGATTGGTGATGTTGAACATCTTCTTGTATAACTGTTACAAGCTTGCTTTGGAGAAACGTTTTTATGCATCCTTTGCCCAATTTTTATCAGGGTTTTGATGTGGTTTTGTTATTTGTGGGTTTTTGGTTTTGCTATTCAGTTGTATGCATGTATTTTGGGTAGTGACCCCTCGTTAGATCTGTGGTTTGTGACTATTTTCTCCCACTCTATAGGTTGTCTTTTCTTTTTTGTTTTTCTTTTCCTGTGCAGAAGCTTTTGAGTTTGATGTCATCCCATTTGTTTAGTTTTGCTTGTGTTGCCTGTGCTTTTGGGTTCACATCCAAAAAGTTATTTCCTAGACCAATGTTGAGGAACTTTTTTCCTACGTTGTGTGATTTCAGGTCTTAAAAGATTTAAGCCTTTGATCCATTTGAGTTGATTTTTGTGTACGGTGTAAGATGAGGATCCAGTTCCTCATCTTTTGCATTGGAGATCCATTTTTCCCAGCACCGTTTATTGAAAACATTATCCTTTCCTCATTGCATATTCTTGGTGCCCTTGTCAAATATTAGTTGACTGTGTATGCGGGTTTTATTTCTGGGCTCTGTTCTGTTCCCCTGGTCTGTGGATCTGTTTTTATGCCAGTACCAGACTGCTTTGATGACTATAGCTTTGTAATATATAGTCATGTGTCACATAATGACATTTTGGTCAATGAAAGACTATATCTACAACAGTGGATGCATAAGATAATGGAGCTGAAAAAAATCTCTTTTCTGTGTTTAGATACCCAAATATCACTGTGTTATAAGTGCTTAGAATATTCAATACAGTAACGTGCTGTATGGGTTTGTAGCCCAGGAGTAGTAGGCTATGCCATACAGCCAAAGTGTGTAGCAGGCTGTACCATCTTGTGTAAGTGCACTCTGTGATGTTTGAACAATGATGAAATTGCCTAACAACACATATCTCAGAATGTATCTCTGTCATTAACGACATGTGACTGTAGTTGTTTTGTTTTGTTTTGGTATTTTTGAGACAGTCTCACTCTGTCAGCCAGGCTGGAGTATAACGGTGCAATTTGGGCTCACTGCAACCTCCATCTCCCTGGTTCAAGTGATTCTCGTGACGCGGCCTCCCAAGTAGCTGGGATTACAGGTGCCTGCCACCATGCCCAGCTAATTTTTGTATTTTTAGTAGAGATGGTGTTTCTCTACGTTGACCAGGCT